AGATTATATGGACTGCATAATCAGCAACAGTTATTGGAGACACTATTGTTTTTGATATATTTGATGTTCAGATACAATTGAAAATTGTATTGGAGTAGAAAATTTGCCAAAAAAACAAAAAACAAAAAACAAGTCTAGACGAGTCTTGAAGGTTGGAGTTAAATATGGAGTGGTGAATAGAAAGTCGATTTTCCTAACAAGGGAATTAAATCATGCAAACATTCTTGATACTATATCAAATTAGCTATAACTATCACTTCATATACACATTGAACCGCAATTTGATGAGGCGAGAAACAATGGTGTTGTGGAATTGGAACATGGCCTCCTTTTTGAGTGAAAAAAGCAAAAAGAAAATTAAGTGATTTATCCATGATATTGGATACTATAATCAGAGCACCATACGCTTCACCAACCCTAACGCACATTGTGAACGAATGCTGCAGAACAGCTAACGGTTTCGACATCGATCCAAGGTTTGTGCGATGCCACCTTTTCCAGGCAGATTAGACAAACTCAATTACTCCATCGTTTTACGAAAAATTCACGTACTACTTCCATGATTGGTTTGAGGTTGAAGGCGAAGAAACAAAGCAAAAGCCACGTGAGAACAAACACTGGTTGGAATCACGCACAACCGATGAAAACTTGTCCGGGTTCATCAACTGTTGCACCGAGTCCTCCGTCATTGGAATGAACATTCTCGGGAATTTACTTCCTCGTCTTCCTCGTACAACCACCCATTATATTTAAAATAAAATCCTTGTCAGGCGTTAAGGTTACTCAAGCACCCCTCCTTGCTTGTTGGAAGAATTGGGATCACTGTGCTGGATGCTAAGTTTAGTAGCCCACCCAGTCCAACACACAACGCCCTCCTCCCACCGTTGACGATGGAGGAGGGGCCCTCCGACTCACGGCACACGCGCCGCAGATCCACCGCAGCTCCCTCCCACCCAAACTTAGCACCCGGCATCAGTGATCTACGTGTTTCCACGCTTAAGTGACGGGCACGGTGGGCAAGCTGCACCGATGACGAGCTGCGTACTGTAGCCATCTACGCCACCATGTTCTGGCTCCACCCAGAGAGGGATTCACCGCAACCAAAATTAGACTCCCAAGGTGGGTGTGGTAACCGGGACTGGCCAGGCTAGAATCGCAAGCCATGGAATCGGTACTACGCTCCCTCGCTCTCATGTCTGCCTGTTCCTTCCACTCTCGCTCTCTTGCACTCATTTTGTAAGCCATCCATCCCTCGTGTGACGAATTTTTCCCTGCGAGGGAGGCTTTCATTCACCCCATGGTTTTGTTCCGTAGGTGCCGCCCGCGATGTCCCCTGTTGCGTTGAATCTCCCTGGTTACAGCAGGTCTTGCAGTGCCAGTGACTTATTGCTTTGTCGCGCATCAGTGCATTGTGGGTGCGGATGGGAAGACGATGCACACAGCCATGGCACTCACTGCAACTCCATCTGTGTCTCTGCTGCAACTGGCTTTGCAAACTCGCATGGCTGATCCGCTTCTAAATGCCGCAATGCGCTTTGCGGCGTCGACGTCGATGTCGATACCGAGTCCACCATCCTTGCACTTCTTCTTCGTGCTTTTCTGATATCTTTCTTCATGTTTTGTTGTTGTTGTTGTTGTTTGAGTTTGGAGAAATGAGTTTGTGAAGTTCTTTAGCTTCTGGAGGGATTTTTGTTGTCACTTGGTGTGTGAGATTGATTCGATTCCCTTTTGCAGTCCCGGATTCGAATTTTGCATATTTGGTCAATTGGTGGATTTTCTACATTTTAGTGAATCCCCCAATTTATGGCCTGTGTGTACTTTCCTGTACATGTACTGTCCAAACTATCAATTGTTTTATTATTATTTTGGTAAATGCTTAAGTGTTAGCGAAAGTATGAACACCAAGTAAGTGAGTGGAAGGAACAAGCATTTTGATTAGAGATGAGTAAATTAATAACGTGGTAGCATGCATTCTTCTAACAAAATGAATACTTTTCATTTGGAAGTTTTGAAGAAAACTTCTATTAAAATAGTTAGTTGGGGTCTTGATCTACATTCTAAACATGAAGTTTTAAAGAAATGTTATATTTCAACATTCTTAAAGATTACAAATAGTTGGATTACTTCTTTATTTTTAATCATGTTTTCTAACATCAGAATAAAAAGACTATTTATATATATATAACTGTAGTATGCTCAAATAAAGCTTAAAATGTAGAAATTGTTGAACCAAGAAAAAAAATATGTTACAAAATTGTTGAATTGTGCTTTTTGAAATTTATGCCAAATGTTTATCAAAATTGGCTTCAAACTAAAAATATCACATATTTATTAGATTAAAGTTCCTTAAGAAATTAGATGATATCATTTCCATATCAAATGAGGAACATAGTTGTTTCTTCTTGTAAATAATAAAATGATCACATTCACTCATCATGGTTTGAGAGGCATTTAGAATATGTAAGAACAAAAATAGTATATGAGTGTGTATATATGTCTGTAATTGGGCAATATGTGATATGCCGCAATACTTTAGGATCATTAAAAAAAAAAAAAAAAAAAAAAAAAAAGGTATTGGAAAGAACAAGCAGTGAGGATAAGAGAGAAAAATATTTTGTTGGATATAAATTTTAATACTGCTTGTAGAGAATTATTTTGTTCCCATAAATTACATGTAAGAAATAGAAACATATAAATATATATACATATGCCAAAAGGTGAATTGTGACAAGGAATGTTTTTTATCCTATTTTTATAATCGTGGGATTTTGTAAAACTCTTTCTAATATATTTATAAACACACAAGCTAATTAGAATGAAAAAAATATTTGAAGCTTGAAGAAAAATGATTACTTCCTCTTAGAAATAAATTTGTATAATAAATTTACAAATAATTAAACTTGAATTTACATAACAACAACAACAACCACGAACAATTAAAATTGTTTGAAAACAAATCTGTAAAATTCATATAATTGAGGCATGTTAAAGCAAAGTAATTATTTTTAGAAATTATTGAATGTCTTGACAATAGAACACTCACTTACGTTAATTTTGTATAGTGATAACAAGTATTGTCCGTTATAATGTAGACTTTGTATGGCTTTGTAGACAGTTTTGTTTTCCTGACATATCATCCAAACAGTCATTTCCATTTTTATATGGCTTGAAACTTTATACAACAATGAGCAAAAATTTGAGTTAATAATTCCAACAAGATTGCCATGCAGACAAACAGTCACACTTTTGTAATAAAATGGATTAATGTGTCCATTAATAATCCTCATTTGTTCTTCAAATGGAGTCTCAAATCAACCGCTTTCCCACCAATTACTTGTCAAATTCCCCTTTACTCCCACATGTTCTACACAATAGTCCAGAATAATAACTATATATACATATGAATGAATAGTTAACAATGTTGTGTTGTTCATTCCCTGACAACCCAAATTGTACTGTAGAAGGTGCAGATGGCAAAAATGCCATTCCCACCTTGGATGTCGCTCCTCGCGGCCACCTGAAAGTTGCGAGTGGGGGGGGGGGGGGCTTTCTTGAAAATGGCTCCTCCTTCTCCAATGGAATCCAATTGCATTGTGAGCTCTCCTCCGTTTTTTTTTCTAGTCCTGTGCAATTTGAGCTCAAAGTAACAAATATACACTCCACCCACACGGAATAGGGGCCGTTTTTGGTAAACAATGTTAGATGAACCGAATGTGCAAATGCTCATGGGTTGTGAATGAAGTTTCAAATGAGTCTTTCTTCGCATATACTTACAATAGGGGAGAGGGGACAAAGAATACTTGTTGGATGTGGTGTGGCAATGTGGGGTTGTATGTGATACGTTACTCACATGGACCTTGTGAGCTTATGAGGTGTTTCATAGTGAGATTGTGTGTGCCATCTATAATTGAAGCTACATTGCTTTTGGATGTTGATTTTGGAATAGAACAAAAAAGAGAGTACAACATTAGTGCTCCTAAAAGTAATAGAATGCTTTAAAATATATGGGAGGAAAGAAGAAAATAAAACAACAATATACCTTCTTGTTGTTATTGTTGAAATCACAAGTTTTTCAAGGTAATACCATTTCTTTGACTATTTGCAAAACATAGAATTTGAGAAGTTCTTGATACATACATACGTTATAATATTAATGGTTTGTGAAATAAAAAAAATTATGTAATTTTCAATATTTTGTATGACATACAACTTACATAATTGTTTTAGAATAGTTGAGCTTGTAATATAATGTTGAATTAAAATGTTATGTCATGTCCTTTGTTAATACAAGCAACAAACTCCAAAAATGATACTTTAGAATTGTTATATATATACTAAAAATATCCTTTTTATAAAATATCTTAAAATACCATCTGATTTTTTTCTTCAGATTATTAGAGTTAAATTTTTTTATAAATAGTATAATAGTTATATTTTGAATATTATCACTAAAATAGAATTAAAAATACATTTATTATGTTGACTACATTTAAGTTTAAATTCAAATTTTTGAGTAAGTATGCAATGAGTGAGGTGTTTTATTAGACCATTTTAAAAGGTAAAATATTAAATTACACACACACACACACACTTATATATATATATATATATATATATATATATATATAAGTATTTTATAAATGCTTTAATAGATTATTATATTTTAGGTGATATATTAGATTAATTTTAATTGTGCCAAATAGCATTCTCTTTAATAAAGAATACACTTAAAAAATAAAACTCAAAATCTCTTTTCTAAAATTCCCACTACCACATATTTATAATACAGTTTAAAATAATGACGTGGATTACACACCGAATTAATGTGCCAAACCCCATCCTCGTGGTTATCATCCGCCCGAGGAGGAACAGAAAAAACCTCATTCGTTGAATCACCCGGCAATAGGAGCAGCGGCGACAGGACCCGGTTCGGTTACCAGAGACCGTGGGCCGAGGCCTCGAGTCTCAAGCTTCCGCACAGCGGCACACTTCTCAGTCTGCCCACAAGGCTTCCCGTTTTGCTTGCAATTCATCGATCTAACCAGCGACGGAAATCCGTTCTTTCTTCCGCCCTTCACAGATCTGCAACCTCTGGTTTCACACCGAAGAATGTAGCTAATACCCAGTTTACACACCGCATGCAATCACCGCACTTACAGCCGTTCCTGGCTTAGCCAACAACAATGGCTGAGAGAGATCAGTGTGGTACGGATCGTGACCTGCGAGAGGGAGGGAGACGATCAAATGCTGGTTAAGGGTTGCACACATTTCAAGTCCAGGTGCGTGATTTCTGTGTTTTGAACTCGGAGCAGACAGGGTGTATGTGTGGTTAGGTTGTGTGTGTCCATGGTTGCACTGATTCTTTTGGCGCTTTGTTTAAGGCACTTCGGACTTATCGTGTGCTGTGATGAGGGTTGTGAAGACGTCGGTGACATCTTTTAGGGAATTTCGGGTGTGGGGATGATTGAGTTTGGGAATGAGCTCCTGGGACGTTTGCATTCTTTTTGCAGGTGTTTTAGGGAATTTAACATGATTTCAAATTATATTCGGAGCTAAAATGGAACCCGGTGGTTTCGACATACAGGTGCATATGTATATGTATATATATATATATATATATATAACCAACTCGTAATGGAATCTTACGGTTTTGCAGGTGGATTTACTACCTATAGGTTGAATATGCAGCAGTTTATTATTCCATGTAAACATATGTTGTCTGTTTCATAAAAGTAATCACTGCAATGTAAGTAGGAAGCATTACATATAACGTAATCTTATGTGCACATGAAGTCCTCTATATTTATCTTGTGAGCAAAATGAGCAGTTTTACCGATGTAAACAAAGAAAAGGTTTGGAGCACTCTCAGTCAATGACGTCAGTTTTGGATGTGGATATCACCGAAACGATCTCCCCCCTGATCCTGTTGGAGAACTCATTCAAGGTTTACGAGCGTGGAAAATTTTCTTACGCTGGACGGACATATGTAATGTAAGGTTAATGTTGTTGTAAACTGTAATTTTTGTTCTATCAATGTGGCACAAAGAGTCTAAATCTCTGAAGATGCTGCCCGTAATTTTGGATACATTTTTGGGCATCTATACCAACACACATGTACAATGTAATCAAATCAGCAAACGTCCGGTCCAAGTTCTATTACCACTACATGGTTTCCTTTATCTACGGCTTCACGTACTTCATGCAGTGGAATTTTCCTATTTTAAGAGTGTTTTTTTTCAGTAGTACCTGTCATATTCAGGTTGCAGATTTTGGTGTGGGCAAGCTGCCAGAGGAATTAATTGGTACTGGAATTGTTCGCACGTTCAACAATCTGCTATTGGAATCTATCTTCCTGTGTGCGTGGTTGGCAGCAGTTATCTTGCAATTCCATTATGTAGAGTCTAAATATAAATCGGTCCTTCTAAACTATAACACAAACCCTAACTAAAATAATTCTTCCGTTACTTATCCCTTGGTACTAATGCTGACCAAATCAAATCTTTATTTTGTCGCGCTTTTTGAACTTACCCTATTTTAAATTTTAACTTTTTGGATTGTTACATATTTGTAAGGCCAAGCTTCCAAATGGCAATGCATGCGGTAGTAAGTCCCAGTAAGCTCCTGGACGTCCATTCAAGCCGCCCGATCTCTTGTGCACCTTTAAGGCAGCGAGAAGTTTTTATGACTGTAAGATTCTAGTCATGAAGATGCAGGTTGACAACCCATGATCGCAAAGATCACAGCGATGTCCTCATTGTCAGAAATCCCAGAGATTTTGTACGCTATGTACTGACCAACAACATGAGTCGATTGCAACTCCACCAAGTTTAGAAATCATTCTCCCTGCAGAATACAGTCGACGCCATGATAGTGCAACCTGCTTGTTTAACGCCGACGACGCCAGAGTTTGCCTGAAACTTCATCAATCTCTGGAGTTAGTGTACACATTGATCTTTAGATTAAGTAGATTGAGTAGCCAGGAGATTGACTACACACAGCTGATCAAACTCAAAAATTTCACCATCCAAGCTGCCTTTACAGAGCATCCATCGTCCATAGAGAGTCAGGTCGGGGAGAGCCGTTGTGGCTCGGAGTCTGTAGCTACTGCCGTTATCGATGTGAGACGCGTGCGTGTGGAGAGAGGGCCAACATCGTAGTCAGTGGTGAGAAGGCCTTGAACGATCCAGTTTGTTCTAATATCCGCAAAGCGAACTCTAGTTACTCACGTAGATCCCACAGATTCTTCTCACGGTGATATGCAGAGTCATGAATTCGCCTGGCCACTGCTCCTGATTGTCAGCACCTGAAGAGGACGTGGAGGTCCACCTGAGGCAAGGTAATGAAAGTGCGGTTTATGACTGCGATGTCAGGACCGCTAGTTACTAGCGCCAGTTATTAGTTTCCACTGTACTGTTGGGTGAATTTCCAAGTTGCAGATTCCGCATGCTCATGGCACTAGCGGCTTTGGTCAGACTCACGCTATCTATGTGTCCGTATTTCGTTTCTATATCTATATATATATATATATATATAATCATTCCGCCGACGCTGGATTACTTCGCGGTCCCGCCGGTGCCACTCTGAAAGCGACACAACATAATAATTTCCTAAGAGCTCCACGTCGATTAGATGTAATGGATTCAATTGAGGTTTAGCTCCATGTACGATTCATATGATGTACAAATATTTCACATCGCAGTATTTCCAACAATGACAGCACCGTGACTCCCATGAGTAATTTTTGAACTAGTGTAACTGGCTTTCGTTCTAGAAAAAGTGGAACGACGTCAGGTGGGTGAAGCGTGAACTCCCAGAACTGTCGACCTGCACCCTGGCCTGAAATCTAGCTTGTTGTACAACTGTGTTGATCGATGCAATAGGTTAGATTGCCGATTTGTTGTCAAATGAGGTGGAGTCAGAGTTTCCTCGAGTTAAAAATTGGATGCTAACATTAGATCTCGGGCAGTCGAGAAACGAAAGCGAAGATTAGTACCCAAAGCAAAGCGCCCAGTGGCAGAGGTCTCTGTCCACCATCTAGTTCAGACAAATTTGTTCCCTCAAAGCAGCGACACATGCTCATTATTCAGAAGCTTTGGAAAAACCTGGACCCAACTGGTTTCTCTTCCTCGCGCAGCTCCAATGTCACGCAACAATAACAACACCATCAGCATCAACAACAGCAACAGCAACAACACAGGTTTCAACTCATTATCCCACGCCCAGCTCACAGTGTGTGTGTGTGTGTGTGTGTCTAGAGGGAGGAGAGGACTAGTATTATTATTCCGGCCCTATGGGCTTGATTCCCCTTTTGGTCTGCCATCCTTCTCACATGATCGCTACTGACACACCAGGGCCTACAATTACCTCCGCAGATGGTAATTCTCCCCCTTCCTGCGAATAAAGCCACTGCATCATTGTGCTGCTTTCCCTCAAGTTGTCTCCATCCCCGATTCAACAACATTCTCGCCGATCGAACAAGCTCCGGGCAACTCAGTTACTGCAATTATTCACACATTCTCGAAGGGGATGAATTCACTGATTCCGCGAGAATGCAAATTCGATGTGGAAGAGGGAGAGGGAGATTCCTCTTTTACCCGATGAGACATGACACAGCACTATCGATGCTCGATTTCGCTGCAGTGGACCTGATTCCTGCTGAATCATGTGCGTCCAGATTTCTCCTCTTCGCAATCCATGCATCTGCTCCCGTCCCTCCGCACCGCATTTTTGTTCTCTGTTGTTGGCATGAAGTTGAGGTTTTTGATTCTGCAACAGATGAGGGCTTATCACACAAACACAAACACAAAGTGCATTGATTTCTTCTGTTTGTGATGTGGGTTGTGTCACTGCGGTCTTTGCATTGAAGGCTTGCATTGGAAGCAGAGACATTTGTTTGTAAATGTTTAAAAAGTAACTGAAATATTAACTCATTACCAATTATTTATTTATTTTTGTTATGACCTTAAAATATCAAAGGTGGTTGGCGGTTCATGCTGTACCTGAAGAATGCAAAGATTGGTATTTCAAATTCTAGGTTGCACCCTAGAGAGAGAAAAACATTGGCAATTAAAATAGCCGCTGAAAAATTCAAACTGTGCTTGATGAACACTAGCACAAGCTTTTAATTTTTTTGTTTTAGAAAAAGAGGAAAAGAAAAGAAGAATGCAAGTTTAGTAAGTGTTTCCAATGTGAAAGACAAGTTTTGAGACACATTAAACAATCAAATCATAATCATGTGTTACTACTATTTTAATTTTGTACAAAGGATCTTTAATTACTTGATTTGCAGACAACAGCACCTTCAGAAAGTGAACAACAAAGTATTGTGATGTGCTTGATTTAAGAACGTCAAAATCAATGGGCTCTAGTTGTGTACATTCTACAGTTTCTGTACAATACTAAAATAGAACCAGTAAAGTGAATCATTTTTTTAAATATAGTCTGATGCAAAGAATAAAATATGAAATAGAAATATAAATGAAATCAGAGACAATGTTTTGAATTTTAGAGCAATTTTGTAGTATAACAAAAACTAAATAATTGTTTACTTGTTTAAAATTATCTCTCTCTCTCTCTCTCTCTCTCTCTCTCTATATATATATATATATATATAATGAATATTTGGTCATTTAATGTGAACTGGCCTTGGAGAATAATCAATGCTGTTCTGCTACAACCTGGTGACACCATTGGTTTTTCTAAGGTGGTTTGTTTACTAAGATTTTATTTTCATATCATTTTTGTTTAACAATAATTTAAGCCTAAAATAAAATTGGAAAGAAAATTAAAATAGAAAAAAAATTAACTTTGATAAGCTGTTCTGTGTGTTGTGGGAATTGCATGTTACAATCATACTATATCTAATATGGTTTTTATTTTTTTGGTGAAAATTCTGCATGTATGTATTACAATAATTAAAATTATATGCAGTTTGAAGCATATTTTTTTTTTTTCATAAAATATGAAGTTTCTAAAGGGATAAAAAAAAAAAAAAAAAAAAAAAAAAAAAACACTTTTACAAAGTGCACAGAAAAGAGAGAAGACTTATTGAAGTTGAAACAAAACTTGCATTATTATTGGATCAAAATTGATAATGAAATGCAGGCAATAACAATGGTGACAAATTGTGTGGGTGAAGTAGACTTTTTTGGTGGTAAAAATAACAAAATGTTGAGAAAAAATCTTAGAAAATTATCTAAGAAAAAACCATCTTGAATTTTTATAATTATATTGGGTGAAGCAATGAAAATATATATAAAAATAAAATAAATAATTAAATAAAATAAATTGGCCTCCTTTGAATGAATAAAAGGGCTAATTTGCAATGAATGGGAGCTACTTTTGAAACAAAAAAATAAAATAAATTAAATTACCCTTGAATATAGGTGATATTCGACATAATGCTAGAATATACACATGGTTGTAGGCGAAGTTAAAGAAATAAATGCTAAGCATGGCTATAACAACAAAGGCATGACTAAAATTTCATAAATAGAAGGATTGCAGAAATTTTTTTTGAGTGTTAAAGAAAAAATGAATATTTAGGTTTTATTTAAGAAGAAGAAACAGGTTTCTTTAAAGAATAAATTATAAATTTAGACATCAAGAAATTTTATCTCTACAAAATGAAAGTAATTATATATATATATATATATATATATACTGAAAAGAATTATTTCTGTAAATAGTGATTATTTATCAAAAGAGACAAGTGAAAAATAAAATAAAATAGAATCATCATTAATTAGGTTCAAGTGAAATGATAAAACATTGTCTTAATTTGATAAACGTGCAGCCTTTAAAAAATAAATATGTATTGAATTATATATTTTAACCTAAACTTAAGAATTATGGGCAAACTTTTGAATACAAGACCTAATAATATATAACCTAAGAATGTTCTTTGTGTTGACTGAAGATTGGCTTTTGGGTGAAAATCTCCATTCATACCAAATCTTTTTGAATCATATGTTTTTCGTGATTCTTGAAGTTATTGTCTAAACTCAAGAAATTTTCAGAAATATAAGAAACATTTTTTGGTGTTGGAAGTTATTAAAGATAATTGAATAACCACATAACTTAGTTTTTTTTTTAAAATCCTATACTTGTTCATTTTTTTATTATTAGTAATTTTTCGCCTATGCTCATAAGTCTTGGTATAAGTTCTATATATATATAT